TTCCTTAATTAAGAGATTTTGGAGGCTCTGGGTTTTCAGGTGTGGAAGCCCACAAAGCCCAAGACCCCTTAGTTAAGGTAGAGGCATCACCTTGTAGCGTCTTGATACTATGGCTTACGGTGTATCTTTCCTGAGTTGAAGGTGATGAGGCTCTTGGATCATGGCAAAATGATCCTAGATCTGAAGGCCGCGAAAGCAGCACAACCTCACCCAAAACCTCCAAAGTGTAAAGCCTGACAGGAAACGAGCACCAAAGCAAAACCCTACTTAAAGGATCATGGGACTTAGTAGCTAGGGTTATGATTAGGCTAGCTATACTCATAACTACTTATAACCGTATAATATAACCCCAGTTCAGGTACTTGCAAGCTTACTTACTAAGTCCCATGATCCCCCAAGTAGGCTGAGGGTTTCGGGTTTATGGCTTCCGAAAACCTCAGCAATAGGGACCCTTAAAGAGCCCTTAAAGGAACCCTTTAGGAGATATTCTTGCTGAGCCCACGGCCCGAGAGCTTTGCACGGCTTCCCGGCTTGAGCCGTCAAGAGCGGAAGGTTCGTAGAGGGTTCTGCTGGCATAGCTTTGCCTTTAGGAAGAAGGGCTTCTAGATCAGATTTGGGCGTGGGGCCTGTAATGGTTTAGGGTTAAGGGCTTCAGCAGGTTTCTATTGCCAGGGAGGTTTCGATAGTGAGGGCTTTATAGGGGCTCTGTAGATTTAGTTTTAGATTGCAAGCTTTAGCTCAAACACTTTGTGCAATGCAGGGTCCGAGCTTTCAGGTTTGGGATGTAGGAACAGTAGCAACCCTGCTTACGACAAGAAGTATTGGTAACACTGCTAATGGTAGGTATTACAACATTACCCACACAAGTGCTGAATCAACAGCAGAGAACAATACTCAATATCGTTGATGATATAAATCCTGCATTACCTTAAGGACCCTAAACTATGGTATTTTACGGTATATTCCTTATTATGGGTCATGCAGGATTTATATCATCAACCGTAGTGAGTCAGGATTAAGAAACGACTACAGGCAGCTAGTCCATTAACAATCCAACCCCGTCACCCTTGAAGCCCTTTCAAAACCTGAGCAGTGTCATGAAACCTTGATAGAACCCATCTAAAACCACACTTTGATAGAACCCTGCGGTTGGGAGTTCAGTGTTTGGGGTTTGGGAAGCAACTGGGCTCAGATGTTTTCCGCCAGCTGAAAGCTAGGATCGCGCCGTGCGAGCTGGGATCAAGCCCAGTCACCTGTCCGCTGGTTCGAGGTCTAAGACTTATATTTAAACTATATTATATAAACTTAATGGGGTTTAGGGCTTAAAACCTTGAACCCTACACCCTAAACCCGAAACCCCTAAAGGCTTTGGGCTTGAGGGCTTTTGCGTAGAGCTTCTTCCTCCCGTTCTTAAGGTCTCCAGAGATTCGGGTTTGAGGCTTGAGGTTGGGGTTGCTTGGGACGGTGGGGCTCGGGGCTTACCAGTAGCATCTCTCAATTCACGGGCAGCTCCGGATTCGGGATTCAGACTTAAGCCTCAAAGCAGTCTCAAAAAACACGTATCAAACTCCTGTATAGAACCCTATCAAGATCCTTCATAAAGGCTTATGTAAAACGCGAACTTTATCCATGTCGACAAAACCGCATGAATCTCACATCAGATGGAGCCTCTTTTTGGGTGCAGGCCCCATCTCACTCTCTAGAACATGCCTGCCAAGCCCGTGCAATAACCTGAAAGCCTAAACTTTAGGGTTCAGGCTTTGAAAGTCTCCCGGAAATCGGTTTAGGGTTCAGGGTGTATGCATACACACACAGAGACATATACATATGTACACACACACAGACATATACATATGTATATATATATATATACGTACAGCGAGTTAAAGGCTTGGGCCCAAAAGGTTTGTCCTTGAAATCGAACCGGCCTGTCTCCCGTAGCCAGGCTTACAAAGGCAATGTCAGGGCCCATGACGTCAGGGTCTTTGCAAAGCAGACTCCGAGGGTTTCGGGTTAGGGACTGTAGGGTTCTTAGATGGTGGTCTCGCAGAAAGCCCTCTGTAGTATCCTCTCTGTATCGTCTGAAGGGATGCAAGCAGGGACCCCAATCAAGAACAACCCTCCAACGGAAATCTAAAGCAAAACCCTTCCAAAACCCCACGAAACGGCGGAAAAAACAACTACGACCACCCGTAGCTAATATCGCCACCTAACCATACTTATTCCTGCAACTTTAAAGTTAAAGCCTAAAACCCTACCCCAAACCCCTAAACCCCTAAGCCCGAAAGTGTGAACCCTGAAATCCTGAGTTAGGCTGGGAGCCGCACGCTGATCTGTACAAGCACGCGAAGTTCTTGATAAAATGTCACAAAAGCCTCTCTCAGGAGGCAAGGCTACCGGACGAGGGCCCCCTCCAGTATCCCTTAGCTAGGGAATGCACCTTAAATTATACAGTAGGATTCCTCATAAGGTATGTTCCTTAATTAAGGGATGGGTTGAGGTCCTGTTTTAAAACACGGCCCTTCCAAAGGTGAATTGTTTAGGGCTTGAAGTTCGAAGGTTTGTTCGGGAGTTTATGCAGGGCTTCATGTGGTTTGAGGGGTTTGGGGTTCGGGGAGTACCCGAACCCTTTGACCTGGTCAGGGTTTAAGGGTTTAGGGTTTAGGGGTCAGGGTTTAGGGGTTTAGGGTTTAAGGTTTTTTTTGCTTTAAAGTGTTAGGGGGGGTTTAGGGTTTAGGGATTCAGGGTTTAGGGGTTTGGGGTTGTTAGGGTTGAGGGTTTTGGGTTCAGGGTTCAGAATTTAGGGGTTTCGGGTTTAGGGGTTGGTTTAGGGTTCAGGGTTTAGGGATTAGGGTGTTGTTTGGGACGTACTGGTAGGCTTTAGGGTTTAGGGTCCGGGGTGAGAGTGACAAGCATCATGCTGTTCATCAGAACGATATTAACAGCCAGAGCATCTGCTTAGGTTATACAAGAAGCAATCGCAGTAACAATAACAATGATCTATCGCAGACGGTCAGTCTGCAGCGGGGCATGGAGGGTCCACTGGCCTCATCCCCACATCGTGCAGCCCGCTCTTCTCTTCTCTCCTGAAGGTTTTCGGTTGAATGCGCTTTCAGCAAGGCAACGGCTATTGAACTTTGAGCTTTGAACCAGATTTGTTTATTGAAAACCTTGATTCCATAGTCGCAAAACTGTTCTGATACATCCAGGGTCTATTACAGTAGTTTGGGGCTGTGTACGGAGGAAGCTTGGAAGCAATCCGCACGGAAATGTATAAACCCCTACAACGGCTGCCAAATACGGGCACACACCTCCACGGTACGGCCAATGAACATAAACTGACATGAACCAGACAACCTCTTCCACAACCACCCTTGGAGAAAGGAAGAGCTGCCAGCAAAACCGGTAGTAACAGATGAGCAGATACTGCTGGCTCGCAGAAATGGCAAAACTCATGGGCTCATGACAGGCACTTCGAATGCTAGAGGCAACACCATGTTTAAGGCATTGGTGAACTTTAAAATGGATCAAGAGCCCTAAGCCTGCCTCTGTCTCAGGGCTGCGACGCACGCAACGGCGATGCCGTGTAGTTTGCCCAGTCTCCCCAGGCGCTTCCCGTAAGTCCATCCTGTGTTGGACTGTTGTCGGATTCAGGATTTCCAGGCTTTTTTGGAGACAGATAACATGTGGCAGAGTACATTACTGCACAGGGCCTGGAATCTATGATTTAGGGTTTGCGTCTCCTGTGCGCCTAACCTAGCAGGTGACGCTGCACGGGAACGCCCACTTTGCACTAGCATTGCGACAAGTACCAGTGACTACAATATCTGTTAAGCCTATATCAGACTGTACTGGTGAACTGCGTCACATGATCTCAAGTCATATCTTCTTGAAACATTTCACATCACTCAATGATGTGTCATATCATGTCATCTCATATCATGTCGTACCATATCATATATATATATATATACATACATACATATATATATATATAGGCTTCGAGGCAGGTTTCGAGGGGTCGCATATACATATGTATATATACATATATACATATGATAGCTACCATATGACGTTATATTAGGTCATGCCATATCATATGATAGCAAAGCCTAACTATAGTAAAGTGAAGTATATTGTATCATGTTATCTTAAACTGCACCACGGTATGGGAGAAACGAACACATTTCGCTATGTTACACTTTATTGTAATATGCAAGATCATGTCGTACTGCGTTTTGTTAGATTACAGCACGCATGTTAGCGGCCAGAGCCCCGTCCTGTAGCAATCCTGGTGACACGCGTGCTATTTCGTGCCATGGCGGCCTTTTTGGTAATGGTGTCATCCTTGACATAGTCGCATAGCTGCACACAGAAGTGACTTGCCACAACCATCGAAGTCTGAGTTCATGCTGCTCATGGCGGACTAGACACACATCAGGATACTTCTCAAAAATGTCTTGTGCTCAAGCTAGCGGGTCGAACTATCGGCCGGGCACAGTATGTTAGCTATATTACGTTATGCTTTCTTACATAAAGTTACAGTCTGTTCTACTCTACGAAAACACATGTTCTTCATTCTATTGTGCTGTAGTGCACTTGCTGCGTGCGGCTATCTTATATAGTTCTATATTAGTACATTGTATTGTACATTATTGTACTGAGTACAGTCTGTTCTATCCTGCTATATTGTAAGTTATGTTGTCATCCCATCCCATGTCATAGTTTGTTCTCACCTTTAAGGTGATTTGCTATGAAATGACATGATGTGACTGACAAGAGGTCATATGATATGACGAGAAGTGATATGATATGACATGATATGGTATTGTAAGAATATGATATGACACGTTACGACACAATACGATTTGCCATGGCCTTGTACTGCATTACATTGTATCACCTGAACATAAGCATCGGCAACACAGGCCACACACAACAAGCAGAATCAGAATGCCCCGCAAGAAAAGGAACACATTCCAGCCGACATGTGCGCTGTCCTGGAAGAACATGCCAATGATAGCCATCATCGCGAGGCGTCCGTTTGCCAGCTCGGCCGACAACTTTTTCGTCTTCTCAGCAGGGTCGCTGGACGTCAAGACCTTGAAGCCGAAGTCGCCCGCTGCGGCTGGGGTGCCGGGAGACTGGTCCTGAGAAACCTCGCAGAATGCCATGTAGGCAAGAATCTGACCCCAACCTGCGGCAGGAACCTTGGAAATCGCGGCAAGGCCGTTGGGGACGTCGTCGTCGTCGTCGTCGGGACTGTTCGGCCTGTAGAGACCGCCCACCGAGCTCCTGTCAAATGAGGAAGCAGCACACCAACCACAAAACTAGCCCTCGCTAACACCACGCAGACAGCTGGAAAGAAGCGCAGACACGCGGGACCTCGAAGGAGTGGAAAAAAGGAGGAAAGAAAAAGCGAGACGAAGAGAACCGGAGAGGAAGAGAAAGAGGAAGAGAAAAAGAAAGAAAAGGCGCAAGGTACGGACCACGAAGGCGCAGTATCAGCAGTGGTAAAGGGGCATAGGACGGACAACCAACACGAACACCAACCGTGAGACCAAAAATAATCAAGCAAAGTATTGCAAAGACTGGGCTCTGAACGTGCAACACACAAGCCAAACAGGCACAGTGGAAGACATGGACGCCAAAACCTAGGCGGAAATCCACCGGACGAACCAAACCGTAAAAGTCAGGGATAGACAGCAAAAGTATTTCCGAAAACGGTGCTCTGAAGCGTGCAAAGTATAGCCAAAGCGGACTCTGCAGCAGAAGTGCATGAAAAACATGGGACTGACGATCAGCAGAAGTCCAAGACCATAAAATCAAAACTAAGCAGCCAGAGTATTGCAAGAAACCGGCTCTGACCAGACCAGAATCAATCCAATAGCCGCATGAAACAGAATTGACCAGATAGACATAGGGCAGACCACCACCCGACAGGCAAACCACACTAATCATCCGAAGAATCGCAGAGGCCAGGCACAAAGCGGAGACATGTTGCTGCTGCGGTGACTGACACCATCGTCGCGTTAAAGCAATTGCGGGTATGAGCGGTTCACATGGATAAAGACTATGAAGACAAGCAGTAGACCGTGGGTTAGTATCACACGTGAACAGCTCGTGTCTGAATCAGACAAGGAGACACTCGCGTGTCAAGTTTAAAAGGGCCGATATAACGCTGGAAAATCAACGGCCGTTGCGTTCGTCACGGCGATCCTTACGGTCGCGACGCGGAAGAGGAGAAGAGCGCCCACGGCCTTTGCCCTTACTGTCACCCTTGCCCTTGGTGGAAGATAGACCGTCGGCAGAAGAGGCGCGTTTCCGCTTGCGAGCCATTTCACCAGCAGATAGGGGAACCCAAACCCGAATGCTACTGCCAGCCGCGAGCGGTCCCTCTGCATTGCAAAGAGACCTGAGCGTGCCACGGACCAGCTGGCATAGGCGGAAACCGGCCAAAGACGGTTTAAATCTGACATCCAAGCAAGTATGCTTGCCCCAGTCCCCCCCCGAGGGGAAGACCCCCAGGATGTCTTCACGACAGGAAAAGATTTCACGCATTTCCGAACGCACCTGGCATTGCCGGGCCGCGTCAGGAATGTGCGAAAGAAGTGCATCCAAATCCTGCATCACGAGATCATATAACTCGTCTTTGATCTTCCAAAGGCCGTCTTTCTTATCGACCAGATCCATCATGCGGGAATCCAAGGCCTTCAAGCCTTCCCATCTGGTCCGGGTCGTAGCTGCCCAGTCCGACATGCTGTCTTCCAGCTTGGTCAGGCGAGATTCCACGGAGGAGGACATGACGTGGGGGTAGACGACGAAAGGGCGTAGGGGGCAAGAACCGCAAAATGGCTGCATGAGCATCAGTACGCGAGCGAGCGGGACGGACGCGCGCAACGGACATGGCATGACAAGAGCAAAACAGACAGACACAAGACCATACTGTCACACACGCACGGGCCTACCTGACCCAGCGTCCTGACTACTCCAGCGTCCTCCAAACCAGGAGGAGCGAAGCATCGAGGAGCCGGACCAAGTAATCCAATCTGCCAGGGAAGCAATCGTATATCAGTTGATTCAACCCACTGCACATAGTGTAGAACATCAAGGCTAGCTGGCCAATTGACTTCAACTGCAAAGTAACCCATCTCATCAGCATGACTGTATGGCAAGAGGCAAGCAGCGCATAGCTCGCGAATATGGAAGGTCAGTATGGAACAGCAATAAACTTCGGTCATGACCACGGAGCTTGTGTGGAGAGGAAGATGAACGATCAAGACGCGAGGAGAAGGGACTCAGAAGATACGACAGAACGAAGGCAACACAAGAAACGCCACCTGCCCCACGACCCACTAACCACAGCGAAGAAAGAAACCGAAAGGAAGACGCAAGAAAAGGACACAACCCGGACACCACCACCTGCCCCAAGACAACCCCCACCCAACCGCAGGAAAACAGCAGGCGGCACGGAGTCGGCGTCAAGCACCCAGTGGATACCCGCAAGCAGGTCCACAGCCCCGAGGGGGACTCGCGAAGAACCGCGACCATACGGCAGCACGGTCTCCCGTCGAGCAGGACCGTACTGCCTCAATGGGACTGGCAACAGAAGAAAGAAACACCCCCCATACCAAAGTACTACTTCTTCGAAGTACAAGCCTTTTCATGTGTGATACGGCTACCAAAAGTGTTGAAGGAGCGAGAACAATGAATACAGGAGAGATTGGCTGCCTCTGAGCCGCGACACTTCGCCTCGTGAGCTTCCCGAACAGAAACAGACTGGAAAACAGCGGAGCAAAGGCTACATGTTTTGTTCAATATGGCGCTGCCACGACAAGTGGCTTCGTGCGACGCCTTGTCTCCCGTTGTGAACCTTGATAAACAAACACCACACTGCCACGAGACATATTCGTCTTTAGCTTCAGCCGGACGACGTTCACATTCCGTGCGATGTTTAAAGATAGTGGCGTCGGTGGTAGCTACTGGAAAAACCCTTTGACAGAAGGGACAGGTACGTGTGAGCTCGTCTGTTCCGCGACAAATGCGTTCATGGGTGTTCCTGAACTCACGGGCATGGTGTGGCTGTTTGCGCCTACCGGTAGCAAACTGCCAAGGGAACTGTTTTCCGCAGCCGAGACGGCAAGTGATAAAGGGGGGGGGGACGCCAGGAACTCTGCAGTAGGCCTCATGACCAGCCAGGGAGCGAGCATGAGAGGGACCTGTGAACAACTTACCACAACGCCAACAATGATCCGTCAAAATTGCAGGGGCTTTGTCCGGAACATCGACGGGCAACAACCATCGAGGCGACATATTAGTACGTAAACCTTTGGCCCCTTGGCCTGCCAATTGATCAGCAAATTCATTGCCCGGTATGCCCGAGTGAGCTTGAACATGGATGAATTCCACCGCACGCGTAACCCGTACCTTCGAAAGAATATCTCGAACGCGTAAGACCAATTTCTGATTTGCCTCCGGTATTGTCGACCCTGTAACAGCCTGGAAAGCATATTGAGAATCATAAAGGACGTGAGCCGGTAGCGAAACGTCTCCTGGAGCTTCGTCTAAGAGCCAAAGAAGAGCTTCCCCTATGGCCGTAAGTTCGCCAACATTGTTAGTAGCCCGCTCCGCACCTAACCATCTCTTATCCCAGGGTTGAAGTGGGACAGGGCCGTATAACTCGCATTCCGGTGTGAGGCAATCCGAGTTTGATGTCCAAATGGCCACACCCCACCCAGCATGAGCAGCCGCCCCATGGGGACCAGACCCATCTACATAAACTTCCCAACAGGTCAACGTGTCCATGTTGAAATGGGGCCGGGATAGAGACATCTGATCATTGTCAGAATCCTGTAATGCCGTCAAGGTATGAATCTTGGCGGGACACTTATGGTTTTTGAAATCCGTCGCGTAGACGAAGACCTGTGCACAAAGAGGACAGCGTTGCTGAGCAACCGTAAGAAGAGATGCGTCGGACACCGCGTGCTGACCATCATAATGAACTTGCAAACCGCGCGCAGTGGTAGCCACATAGGTACAAGCCGGACAATGTAGCGGGTCTCTTGCTGTAACCTCTGCAGTGGGAGCCGTCGAAGCTGTAGGGGGGACAAGCAGGGAGTCTCCAACTTGCCAGGAGTTCAGCAACGATTGATGCTGTCGTGACGGTTTAGCACGAGGGAGTACTGTGTCCACCAGTTTCAGCCAGTTGCTAGTTGGTTTCTGCGCTAGCCGAAACCAATCCATTTCCGGAATGCCATACTTTTGTAGTAACCATGCCACCCATTGTGGGAAAGTGTACCTTGCCGATCTGTGTGTTGCCAAACCTTGCGGCCACCCGAATAGTGCAACTTTTGGAGCCCTAGACGCAGGCATACGCGCAACATGACCTACCCACTTGAGAACTTGGCGATGCAGAAGACTGGAAAAGTCATCCCAGCAAACCATGTGCCGTAGGGCGGTGTCATTGTACCTGTTTTCACTCATGTTGTAAACATCCAAACCCAAACAACGACGAATGCCCCTGGCCAAAACCTGGCGCTTGGCGAAAGATACCCAGGGAACTTGCCCGTGATCCTTGTCGAAACACATCACAAGATCTCGAGCTATTGAAACATCGATCACAACACGTCATGCACACATATGGCACATGTGCACACCATCGAAACAAACATCACTTCTCGCCGACAAGTTGCTCGGGTGTGATATATCCCATTGTTGCGAGCATGGAAATTCTTCCGTGCTTCAGCTCGGTCTGGCGGCGGCGCTTGAAGTTCTCCACGCTGCCATCTGCGGTGAACCCAGCGGGATCCCAAAATCCAACTGGGTCTTGCACTCCGAGCTCGTTCTCGAAGGCACGCAGAGGCGAGGCAGTGTAGTTGGCCCAGTCTCCCCACGCGCTTCCGGTCAGACCGTCCTACATGCAACATAAACTATGTCGACTCAACTTTCGCCAACATCCGATGCATACTGTGTTGTTGGGCATTAGCTGCATCAGGCATGTTAGCAAACATGCGGCACTGTAGGCGTTTGTCATCATGCGTTCGAATGCGTGACATTAGTAGCACTGCAACAAACATCTGCAATCATCCGCTTGATGCCTGGAAGAACATGCCAATGATAGCCATCATCGCGAGGCGTCCGTTTGCCAGCTCGGCCGACAACTTTTTCGTCTTCTCAGCAGGGTCGCTGGACGTCAAGACCTTGAAGCCGAAGTCGCCCGCTGCGGCTGGGGTGCCGGGAGACTGGTCCTGAGAAACCTCGCAGAATGCCATGTAGGCAAGAATCTGACCCCAACCTGCGGCAGGAACCTTGGAAATCGCGGCAAGGCCGTTGGGGACGTCCGCAAATTTAAGACCAGCGCTTGGCGAAAGATACCCAGGGAACTTGCCCGTGATCCTTGTCGAAACACATCACAAGATCTCGAGCTATTGAAACATCGATCACAACACGTCATGCACACACATGACACATGCGCACACCATCGAAACAAACATCACTTCTCGCCGACAAGTTGCTCGGGTGTGATATATCCCATTGTTGCGAGCATGGAAATTCTTCCGTGCTTCAGCTCGGTCTGGCGGCGGCGCTTGAAGTTCTCCACGCTGCCATCTGCGGTGAACCCAGCGGGATCCCAAAATCCAACTGGGTCTTGCACTCCGAGCTCGTTCTCGAAGTGTGTCGCTTTACCTCAGGACCAGCGGGCTTGACAAAAGTCCCCCTACTGCCTGCGAAGCGTTGGAGCCTCAGTCGGGCTCACGAGGGCGCCACAAAGGCTGAGGCCTATCAGCATCATAGCTAGGGAACCATGACAAATGCCATGCAGAGGCATCAGGCCAAGTGCCAGTGTGAAAACTGATTGCTGCTTGCCGAATTTCATCGGCGACTCGTGACTGAGTCAGAAGCAATGGTCTGCGCAAAAGACCAGCAGATGCAGGGAGAGAAAATCCCGAGAGAGCCCTGCAGACAGCAGTAGAAGTTTCCAGCACTGGGGGAGAAGAAAGGTTATTCTTACGGATAATGCTACGAAAAACATCAGCAAAAAATTGCGCGCGTTCTCCAAGAGGAACTGGAGAATTGTCGTCTGGAGTACTACGCTGCGAGAGAAGCTTGCGTTGCTGAGCAATTCGTTGCCGACTTACAGCCTGAGCAGTGGACTCAGGACGTCCGATGCACGAGAAACGCAGAAAAGCAGCGCGATCAGCCCAATAGCCTGAGCGCAAGCAGGCTTTGCAACGGTAGCGAGCTTTGCCAGAGTCGGCCACATACCGCTCAATGTCATGTTTCAGATCATTCTGCGGGGGCGGGTCGTGATCAAAAACAGATTTGATGTGAAAGGCCGCACCGCGACGCTGTCTCGAGCTGCTGTCACCCTGAATGCGTTTTTCAGAACCGGGGAGGAAAATGCCTGTGCTGAGTTCAAAATCAATACAAAACTCAAGATAAGTGATGCCGCGGGTGGAATCAAGTGGGAGATCCGGCCAGCGCAACTGGTCAAGGTACCAAGCCAAAGCCCGGTATAAGAACTCACCGAAAGGAAAACGCAGGGCACGAGAGAAGGGCTTGCAAGGAGCAAGCACGTGCTTGTGGCCGTCAAAATTATCCGGGTGTGTGAGATATTCAGGAGAACTTTCAGGTTCTGCAGAGCAATGCTTGGGAAGCTCGGGAGGCTTAGGGTCAGAGGGATCCTCAAAAGTAAGCAATTTGTGACGCTTTGCGTAACTGGCGCGAGCCAGCACAATGGCCAACAGCATACGCTGACGTTGCAAGACACAACTTTCAAGTTCATCGTAAGCGGCTTTGGAAGCAAGGAAGGCAGCGTCATGCTGTGACAAGGCGGCAGTTTTTGCAGCAACTTTGGCATTGCAATACAGCAAGTTCCGGCTGGGATTGTCAAGAACATGAACGTTTACAGGGGCAGACCTCGAGGAGAGGAGAAGGCGGAGTTTCAAAATGATGTCCAAGTTATCGGCATCAAAAACGGGGGAAGGGGACTTAACAGCTTCCCAAACCGAAAGAAAACCGGAAGAAGCAACCCGAATGTGAAGAGGCCGAACATCACGAGTGACAACGTGCAGAAGAGCCCGTAGGAGGGCTCGATGCGCGGTTTGCTCTGAGCCAAGGAGTGCACAAGATGCGTTGCCGGGATGCGAAAAACGGGAATAG